CAATGACCATAATTGAAACGTTCATATACTTATTTTTTTATGTGTAAAATCAATTGCCTTTTTAATAAGTGAAATAGAGAAAGAAATTATAAATTCTTTTTATGACAATAAATTCTGTATCCGTGAGTCACACACACACACACTAGTGCGCGCACACACACGCACGCACGCACATGCACATGCACACATAAATACACACACAAAAATGAAAAAAATTATAAATGCTAAATCCAATGAAGCGATTACATATTTGACAATATTATTTTCATTCCAGATCGTGGATAATTTTTTAGTTTCCGTTAGTAAGAAGGAAAAAAAGTGGAATTTTGTAAAAAAAAAAAAGAAGTGAGAAGATATTTGTATTAATAATCATGTAAACTATGCAGTATTCAAATGAGACACAAAAAAGAAAACTATAAACCATGAACAGAATGTATTACGAAGTAATAATTGATGTGAAATTTCTCTAGTAGAAAAATTTTTATAAAATGAAAATGAAAGTAAACTTAATATAACTCTTACCATATATCAATTCAGTAATACAAAAAATAACTAATTTAACTGTCAAGTATTATAGCTAATCATCAATGTAGAAACCTATACATATATAATGGATTAAACTGTTCAAAATGATGAAATTAATAAGGTGAATCGTAGAAGAAATCCAAATTATATAGCAGTCATGACAATATGAAACAATAAACAAGGAAAATATAGTTTGAAGACATAGAGTGGAAAGGTATATATGAAGGAATAGTAGAATTAGAGATACAATGAAAGATAAGCGAAAAGTGAACGGATCTTTATCATTGTGAACGATTTTGAGCCGTGACATTCAAAATCTCTAACAACTGATCACAATTATCGCACAAATTTCATCCAAATACTCTTCATTTACCAGTATAGCTTAGATCAACATTCGTTAACTGTATGTACTGGTGCCATGTTTTGTTTCGGACACCTAAGTAGTATAAACTAGATACCAAAAGCTAATGTTAATAAATCGCTGAATATTATCTAAAGTTTTAGCCGATTCAATTGATTGTACCTTAGCCAAAGTAACTGAACGTTAAAATAAAAATTAATTTGTTGTAAAAGAGATTCAGACACCAGAGATTTTCACGTTGCTATAGCGTAAAAGCTTTTTCCAACTATATGATCTAATTAAGGAAATTTTTATGAATAATGTCTACTAGAGTCTACAAGATAACTATTTGTACGTTTTGACACTATCTTACTACAAAATATTATTAGGTTAAACTAGACAAATATGAACATGAGTTTGACTGGGGAAATATCGAATAGTAGTTTCTAATCGTTATCTAACAAAGGTCAGCATATGATGTAAAGTGGTTGAATCCAACAAACATATCTAAGTTAAACCATTATTGAAAATCTAGAAGTACCGGACGGCTGTTTAGTACTAGGACTAGATGGTGACTGGAGGTAGTCGACAGGAAACCCTGGACCCAGGTTTCGTGCTACTTGGCACTCGTCAGCAAGTTATATTTGTAATCTTGAGAGAACTGATACTCCCTGGAGGATTCGATCTCATGTCACCCAGCTTCACAGTCAGAGACGTTACCATTGAGCAATACGAGCCGCGACTGACCTCCTGCAACATGATCGATAGAATTCGATCTGCACTAATAAGGACTAGACAAGCATGACATTGATCGCCACCCAGTGATCGATCAATCGTGATTAGTACTAGGACTCATAAGCACAAGCCTTCATATGAGAATCGAACGTATTTGATACAATACACAAATTTCTGTCTTTTTAAATATTAAACAAAATTAGCTCAATCGTGATCAACTTTCAATGTCATTTAAGATTGACATACATACTGTAATGCTGTAAACAGTCAACAGGACAGTAAATGAAACATAATTCGCAAATAAATTGAAGTTTCACCACATTAAATCAAAATATTATAAGAAAACCGGTAATATTAATATTAGTGTAAATTAAATTACATAGATTTAAATTACTGCATCACACAACAGTATAAAAAGAGTAAATATATCTGCACCATTTTGATGGATCATAAAATCTATCACTGTCAGAATATCACTACTGATTTTTATGATTATGAATAAATTAATGTAGGGACTTTACATTTCACTGACAATAATTGTAATTTCCAGTTAGTAAATTCATTGACCATGTATCATCAAAAAAAACAGAATGAAATAAAATTACCAATATTTATATTAAGCTAAGAAAAAATATTGTCTTACGTTAATCATCTATCTTTATTACTAAGAGAAATTAATATGATTACCAAAGTTTTAATAAGTTACTATTTGACCTTGAAATAATTGCTAATTTTTCGTTTTTTAATTTCATAATGAAACATATCAGTAAAAGTAAATAAAACTAACCTGTTTTCGCTAGCTAGGTCATATATATATATATATATATATATATATATATATATATATATATATATATCGCTGAATAGATTCAACGTAATTTTAAAATAGAAAATATCTATCAATTTATCCATAAGTAAACTTATCCGTTTAAGGTCAGATGTTTTATATTTGGCAGAAAATTAATTGAAGTTAAATAAAATTCTGGGTTGTTATTAGTAATTAACTCATCACCTTCAGTTAACTAGTCACGTTACAATCGTTCAACAGGTTTAAATTTCACAATATTTGCGATAAACTTAGGCATCTTTTCAACTTCAGTTACTTACCACTATAAACATGGTTTGGTCTGCTCAGAAGATTTATCTAATACAGTTTCTAATTAACAAAATAAAATGCAAGCAGGAATCTACAACCTAATAGATATTCATTATTTCCCACGAAATATTTTCCAGTCTCCAGTGAACAAATGTTATACTACTCTTAATTATAATCACACAATAGCTTCTGGTGCCGTATTTCTGTTTCAATCTTCAATGACAGTACATACGATAAAGATAGTGAAGTCAAAATCCTTAGCTACTCATTGGTAACTATTAACCAATTATAATTAATAATATTACTGTGTTGTGTATAACAGTAGTCTTAAAGCTACTTTGTTTTCACGGCCTGCTTCGTTGAACTCTATTGACCATAGTTACTAACTAGATCTCCAGGAGTTTCAGACGTCGAATGGGTATCAACAATGATAATAGATGATGCCAGTGCAATATCGCAATCTAACTAAAGCCATAAACGTAAACAGAAGGATCCCAAATCACTAGTATAAAGGTCAACGTCACGTCAAAAGGACTAAAGATTTTGAGTTCAGTCGCTGTTTGGTTCATGGATTTACACACCTAGTGAGTCCCATACAAAATTAGCTACCTAATGCTTCACGCTAAGGGGTGAAGTTTTGTATTGTTTGTTTGAATGTTCATATTGATGTTTAGGATTGCAATTGTTCAGTCTTTTATTACACAAGCTAGTGGGCATCAGGGCTCAGTAGCTAAGTGAACAGAGCGTTGGCATTTGAATCAAGCAGCACTGGGTTCGAGTCCCACAGTGAACATCAGCTCTGAGATGCAGGTACATTCAGATGACGCGTTCTGGATTCCATCACCAGCCACCATTCATCTTTACTTACAAAACTAGTTTATTTTTGTGATAAATAGTTAATTAGAACTGTAAAAGATAAAAATGTTAATTTGTTGAAGAATGTTGACATTAAGTAGGATAATAAGAAATGCCAGAAACACTCCATAGCTATGTTGTCTCAGTTTAGGCTTCTACAATAAAATGCATCCCCAGTATGGGATCAAATCCAGGATTTTCAAGTTGTAGGTAAAAAGTATAATATAAACCAAGTTAATATCAAATTATTCATTTTTCATTTTGAAGGGCTTGAATTTTATTGATCTTAAACTCTGCAACTGAACATTTCTTTTTGGCATATTCAAATACTTAGCGGAGTCCTATGATAATTTTGCTGTCATGAGGTTTAAAGTTTTAATTTCATGAGCTGGGCGCTTGAAGCTAAGGGCAACAGGTTCGAGTCTAATGGTGAATATTATCACTGGTGCAGATACATCCAGATGATGAATTCTAAAATTGAAGAGGTGCATGTTCAGGATTCTATTGCCAGCCCCTATCAAGCTCTGCTCGCATGTCTACAATTTATATCTGCCTATCATAAATTCCTATCAATACTTATAGTCATCGGAAGCAAACCCACTGGAACTTTCGGCATATAATGTGATTGAAACTATCTTCAAATCGAACGGCTATTAATAAAATAATGAGGTGATTAGTTGTGGAATTTACTGAAATATCCAGAATAAGACTGAAGTGTTCACTGTTCCTTCTACTTTCCATTAATCTTCTGACTAAAATAACAGTCAATGATAAGGATGAACTTTGAGTAATTTGACTCTCCATAAACTATTTCATTTAGTTATATACTATATCTGTTTGATGGACGTATATTTAACATAGCTAAATGGGTAAATAGAAATTGAGTAAATACAAATAAAAGAATATTATTGAAATTAAAAACAAAAAAAGTAATGACTAGCCATTCTTTTTAATCTGCTGAGTAGTAAACATTCCACAGAAAACGATTTTACTCAAAAATCCTCTAGATTATCGAGGAACTTTAGATTCCAATTAAATAATCTACATTCTGTTTTCAAAAACACTGCGTTTTAATAACATTGTCTGACTCCATCGACTCAATGTAATATTCGTTATTTGGTGTCTCTCATCTTTTGTATATTTCACTCAAACAATTTTCTAACTTAAGTTTATGAATGTTTTTTCAAGTTAACCAACTGTCGGTAGCTATTATTTGTTTAAAAAACGTGAGGAAATGATGAGATTTGGTATGGATTCCACGATCAGCCACAATTTAGCTTTCGTAAGAACTTGTGACTAAATGAAAATATCAAGATGATCTTCTTGGAATGAACATGTACCAAAAGAGACTGAATAGTTGCAATCTTCAACATAAATAAAAAGCCAAAAACAAACCTATACAAATATTATCACAATTTATTAAAATATCAAAAATAATTTGAAACTTACCAATTTATAAATTGGACGCAATTCAGAAAATTCCCATAACATAAACAATAGTTGACGTATAAGTTTAATAACAGTTTGAGTAGTTTTATCTTCATTGACTAATTGTTCAGTACAATTAAATCTTATTAAATGACCATTATTAAGGCAAATTTTTAATAATTCTTGACATTTCTCAACTCCTCCTAGTGTAACAAAACGTCTGTAAGAAGTTGAATAAAGTAAATGAAATAATTAGAAAATGGCATAAATACATATAATTGTGCACAATAATTTTTTTTGTTGAGTGTAAAGGGTTGTAATTGAAAAGTAAACAAGAATACAATAGCGACTGTCGGAAACAAAATAGTCTTTTTAATGAAACAATCAATTTTCTCTTCCTTATCAATTACAGAATTTCACAGTAAAATAAAAAAAATAAACAAACTACGCATATTTCGGTAATTATTCAGTTCTAATGTCAAAAACAATGTTTGTAGTTATATTATGTATGTCTTTTCTCCCTCTCTCTCTTTCCTTCAGTTAACAAAGGTTCATTTATATAATTAACTGGTGATTAATTTTAGAGTAACTTCAAACTCTTTTTTTTACTAAACAATAATATTAGGTCTATTAAGTGGAACTCTTAACAAATAGAAAGATAGCAATGTTGAAATTTGTTGATATTGCTGGATAATAAAATTTATGAATTACTTGCAAAACTATGCGATAATCATGTGAATCAGAGTGGATGATTCAGAGACAATGATAAATTGGATATTTGCATTGATAATAGTTTTTTAGTGTCTCTGAAATGGAATACTTATTAAACCAGATTTTCACGATTACTAACAAGTTAAAATCATTTAATTGTAGGTCCGCTACTTATCACCATGTGTTGGGGACGATAGATCCCCAAAACTCAAATTTTGTAATTTACTTATCGATTAAATGTGCAGATAGGTCAATTGATGAACTATCGATTAAATGTACAAATAGGTCAATTGATGAACTATCGATTAAATGTTCAAATAGCAGTCAATTGTTGATTAATGTTCAAAAATTTTCCATGACAATATCGATTGTAAATATTTGTATAAATACGCTTGATTTGTGTGCTCGACTTGATAATGTCAGCTTTAATTGTTTTATAACCAAGTTACGTTAGTCAGTCAATCAGTCAGTTAGTTATATGCAAATTAGAATCTAGTGCCAATGTGCAATGGTTCGGGTTACCATACCACATTAGCATAGCAAGATAAAATTATCAAGACAAATTCCAGAGTGTGGAAGTAGTAATAGTATCATAAGTAGTAGAAAGGATCAGACATAGAATTAGGAAAAAACAGGATAAGTATATTTCAGGACTGAGGATCTGGGGGAAGACGAAAACTGAATACACCTGAACCATTTTGAATGATTTTGAACCATATCGTCCAAGATCCTTAACCATTGATTACGATAATCGTCCAGACCCTAACCAGGTAATCTGCATCTATCTATATGGTTCAGTCAAACGGTCAGCAACTTCATGAACTTATCCCAAGAAACATCCAACTGATGAGTTCCATATAAAATGAAACGCCCTCCTTGGATTTTACTGCTAGTCTTTATCCGAGCCTAATAAGAAATTATGATTAAATGACAATACATATGGAATATACTCAACATACACATATACCAATTAAAACTGATTAGTTGAACTCTTTAATATCACTGCATGAAAAATACAAACAAATGATAATCCCTTACAAATAAAATAATGTTACTAATTTTTTTCAGACGTCGAACTTTCAATCAGTTTGAGACAAACTGTATCTACTGAAGTTTTAAGTAGTAATTTGGTACTGTTTGCCACTTACATAATACATGTAACCCATAGCCTCCAGTATACAAATATTTGAGTAGATGTCAAGTTACCATTAAGTACCATTTATTGAGAAAAATAATTCAGTACCATAGTTGAGCATTATTAAATCCCTAGTGATTTCCCCAGTAGTTTATGTTATTTAGTAAATATCATAAAATTATTGATAATATTTTTCAATCAATAGAACTCTCAAATCATCTTACCTAGCATTTTCCAATTTTTTATGTATTATAACACAACATAAACTTAACAGGGAAGTTGTACATTGTTTCTGTAGATTAGATTTATTCTCTTCGCCAAATTGTGTATATTCATGATTTGTTAAACATACTGATTTATTCATTACATTTGATGTTTGTATTGGTATTTGCCATTCAGAATTATTGTTATAATAACTGTTATTATTATGATTATTATTCATTGTATTTAGTTTGTTTAAGTGTGTTTTATACTCATTAGAATGTAGATTTAATGCAATTCCACATGAATGTTGATCTAATGCTTGTATAATACGATTTAATGCATATTTACCAAGTAGACTACAACTAATTGGATCTAATGCAGAATTACGTAATGCATTAGCTGCAGTTGCAACAACATTATGCATTGAATTATTTAACAATTCTACAAGTAATGGAAGTCCATGATTTAAACGAATCTAAAAATTACCAAAAATAATGAAGAAATTGATATACAATGAGTTAGTGTTAAATAACTTGGTAAATTTGTTATTTGAATGATAATTATCAGCAAATCAATGCATTCCTTATGTAATTGCACCAAGGTATTTATCTTGACTGCTCCGATTAGTGTCTAGTTTATGTGAAAATACAAAGCATTATAATTTTCTCTCTTGTATGATATATACATATATATAGGCTACACATGATAACATAAATTAATTACCAATAATTTAAAAAATAATAGCATGAGTTATTACTGTCTTAACATGGATGTAAAAGCCAATAATCTGTTAAGTGATTACCTTTATAGTAACAATATGCACTAGTTATCATGAATTACAAGTTCAAATACAAGGTTTTAAGGTGGTTGTAGCCAGAGATAATTTCGCGGCATGCTATATCTTTATATATTTTGGACAATAAAAAGGTGTGTACATGAACATGTTTAAAGACATATTTCGACTAACCACTATTCTTTGAATATTTATGGTCGAACTCAGAAAATGTTTAGTTAGAAGAAAAAATCCCACAGTCGTTTCAATGTCAGCCGTGTTACGTCACGTTTATCAAAAATATAGAACAACATATCGACATGTTGAACGCTTTCAAAATAATCAACAGATAGAACATTCTGGCTTCACAACATTGTGAGCCTATAAATATCAAGGGAATGTCATCTAATCTCCTTATTCAATAAGTAACTCTCATCAACCGTTTATAAAGATGATGAAATATAATATTTTATATAAGCTCCCTAGTAACTTCCTATTACTTCTATTGTCATAAGCTTTCATATTGTTTAACAACATTATTATTATTATTGTCTTTATTATGATAATTACTTTAACCTAAATCTTTTAAATGACCTGCATATAATATGAACATGATTACATAAATTTTCTTCCATCTATCATCTAACATGTTCAAACTCTTGTCTTTTATACTGATTCATTTCATTTATTGTTTTATTTCTAAAACATAAAAAATTTCCATTTGTTGACCTTACTTATTTTCCATACAATTATCTTCTTATTTATTCGAATGATAGAATATCCGTGAAATAACATCAGTGTATTTCCTTTAAATTCTGTATTAAAAACTTAGTTAATATAAAGAAATTGTTTTGTCCTTTTAAATAAAAGGAAATATTTTTGAAATAAAGAAAATTGTACTTTGATGGTAGTTCACACTTCATCATTAAAAAAAATAGACAGTACTAAATAGATGGTTCACTCTGGTAGTGTTAGAATTCTTAGATATATATGTATTGCCTTACAGATTGGATCAAATCTAAGAATTTTTAGGGTTTGTGATAAGCGCATTACTACCAAATAATTGAAAGTCAAACCCCAGAGAAAAATATCAGGTTCGAGTTTCAACATGAACATCAACAATGGGATTCCGATATATTCAGCTGATGAGTTGTGAATATAACAAAATTTGTTCAGCAGATTTCATTGTCAGTTATGATATAACTCTATTTTATAATTATTATTAGAATAATGTGACAGGAAAATAATCAACTATTCATGTGAAACTAGGTTATACATATACCGTTAAAATAATTTTAAATAAGGGTAAGTTATGTTATCTCTTATTTCATACTTATGTTTCTATCTAAATCTAAAAAAACCCAGCACTTACTAAAATAAGGCCAGAGTAATCAATTAAGGAAAATTAAATCATTATCATCACATTTATTAAGTGACATAATCACAATGAATGTTAAATGTCGTGAATTTCTGTCATATTAAACAATAAAACAAGAAATTTGAATCATAAAATAAAACAAAACAAACAAATGAAGTTAATAGTTTCACGAAAAATTTAATGATATTCTTTAAAATTGAAATTTATTTAATGCTATTAATGCTGAGTATGTTTGTTTTCTTTTCTTCATTTCGAACTGGTTTGATAATCATCACTTCAAATAGAATAGAATTTATATTACACTTAATTCATATTTATAATTTAGCAGATGATACGACGATGTAACCTTTAATGGTATGTTAAATGAAAATATGTTAATGTTTTTAAATATACACAAATACCTCTGTACCTAAAGGATGCTTTCAAAGTACAGAGTCAATTACAGTATATTGTCACTGAAAGCCAAAATATAATTCTTTTATTTGATTGCTGATAACCTTTGTCGATTTTTAGTACATGTTTCCTGACATGTGATTTGGCTTACAAGTGGATCACGTGTATGTATTCCTATGAGTCAACATCGAGTGACCCACATTTCACGCTTTTCTTTTGCAGCCTTAATATTCAGACATTTCGAAACAACATGACAAGATCTAGTCCTAACCTCAATTCAATATGATAGGTTGTGAATATCTAATGATAAAACGTTTTAAACTGGGATGAGATAACAAGTCAGTACTAGCTTTTTCGGTTCATTGTGTCTTCAGAAGTTGCTAATTCATTGCAGAAATTACCACTTAATTAAAAACAAGTGAGTTAAGCTTTTTAGAAATAACGTTTGCTTTTTCTTTGATTGTTTCCTTCAGTTAACTAGTGATAGACATTATAAATTTCATTGTTATTTTTAAAAATACGAAATGATTTTGTTTTAATTTTTAGTCAGAGATTTCGATTAAAACATCTACGGCATCCTAGGCAAGGATGGATGGTTGTTTACAGTCGAATCTGGGACTACCTTTTCGTTCTATTTTGACTCGTCAGATGGATGCACCTGTATCCCAAATTTGACTTATGGAAATATCGAGGCAGTCCGTACAGGATACACAAATGCCAATAAGAGACTGGTCAATAGTAGTCTTAAACGTCAATGGGAAGATTCAAACGACCAATACAAAAATGAATTCATCTGTTACATCGTATTACAGAAAATGCAGATCATGACAGAATACATTTACATATACACAAACAGGAAGTATAGATACATTTCAACAAATTTAATCTAAACTTATTAATGAATTCAAGGAAGCATTTACATTTATCCTGCTTGATTATTTGTTTGTGAAAATAAAACGAAATTATCTTTTGGTTGATTTTCAAACTTTGTTTATTACTATAAAATACATGAAAGATGAATACAATGAATGGGAAAGAGAAAAATTCGGTTGGCTAAGTCAAGAAATATGATTTAAAAATGAAGAAAAATAGAAGTAGAAGGGATTATTCAAATACTCAAAACATATTCTTTAAAAAAAGCAAGTTTAACAGTGGAGAAAAAAAGAACAGAAGAAATGAAATCATGCTTGTATGAAATATATATTGCGTTGTTTGATTCGTTGTAGGCGATGCCCAGTTTTATGCTCTAATTCCGATAGTTTGAAATCAACACAATAATCCCAGAACACTTTCAATCATTAGAATTAAATCGAGTGAATAATTAAAGTCAAGTATAAGTTTTGTAGATGAGTAAAAGTGAATCAATAGATTACTTTGAATACAGAGTTCACCGTTACAATCAATCATTACAAGATGTAGTTGTGATATTAGAAGAGATTATTCGTCTTTATTCATATAGTTATCATGAGTAGCATTACAAACAACCTATTCAAACTTTTATCTCACAGTCAGTTAGCTCAATAAAATACCGCGATAATTAATTAACAAAATGTAAAAGTTCCAATGCAGTTATACGTTTATTGATAATAATGAATTCATAACCTAGGTTTGTAGTCCTTACTAAACCAACAATTAAATGTCTATGATAAGCGTAACACCAAATTGAATATGAATTGATGCAATATTGTAAGAATTTTCTTTATTTTCTAAATGTTTCTTTTTTAGTACTAATTTTAAGCAAAATCACAAATATATTTCCGCTTAGTTAATCCATCTAATTTGGTTAACAATTTTCTTGGTAGATGACAATATATTACTGATGCAGTTATCAGAGCATTATGAATCATGCCTACTCTAGTTTTTCTCATTTTTGTCACAAGCCATACCTTTTACACTAATTCTTCAATCAATCAACTATCACTTTGATGATCATAGACGTCAAATAAAATCCTTATATCTTATTGATGTCTCTTTAAGAAAAAAAAACATTTAATGTTAAAATACTTTTTGTCATTATGTCAAATTCAAGTAAAATATTTTTAATACTGAAACTGGTTAAATTCATCAGAGGTAATAAATGAGTAAGCCAAGTGATGAACATCACAATCTGAAATAATTACTTTTTCAATTTCAACGAATCAAACGAATAATTTGTAACCTTGACTCTGTAGTATTTATTAACTATTTTCACTTGGAAAATTACAATGTTTCTGACATTTATTGAAACTGGTAACAAATTTTGGCATAAAATACAGTAAAATATTACCATTGACAATATTTTTCTATCATTCAGAAAGACACCTAATGATATAAATGGCTAATGGTTTATTGTCTAAAGGAAGTCGGTGGAATTGTATCAGATGATTACAGAAAACAATTGATTCTGTTCGACGATAGTTTTGAAAGCAACCAAAAACCTAATAAGATAATTCAATTACTAACTTTTTAAACTGAATATATACTAAGGATTTTGTGAAAGTTGATATATATATATATTTATTTATATGTACTGTCAACTTATTGTAGTATCAATCAGTCTTGCACAGAGTCTATGTGGTATATATGTGCATCTTTTCAAATTGCCACACACCATCAGTGAAGTGAAAAGAAATTCCAACTCAAAGTTTGCAACTATTGGTCACGATAATCACGTGAGATCTAACCAGGCAGTCTATACCAACTTTTATGGCTTAGTCTTATAGTCAGTGACTTAGCAGACTAACGACGAGTTTCATTGGTGTATTACCTAACTTTCTCCTAGCGAGCATATCACATCGTAGAAGGTAATGGTTGGGCATGTGTAATACATGTCGCAACCAAATAGGTCAAAGTAAATTCAATACCTCATCAATATTGCACAATATTTGATGTCCATTTTTTAAGGTAATTTGGTGGTACATCTTGGATGAATCGGGGTTTATTATTAGGTAGTAGAGTGTATATGTTACATTGGATGAAACCAAACATTCTTTAAGGTTTCCAGTAACTACAAAGGGACTATTATGACTCCGCGAATAAAAGTCACATAAAAGAATACCTTTTTATTGATGAGTTCGTTAACTTTAAACATTAATTACACCATCCAGGGAAAATTTGAGCGAAACTAAGACTTCGATTGATTGCCGTTGATTACAGATGAACTTCCAGCTTGACAAACATAAGAACATTGATATATACTAAATGAAGGTTTTTAATGAGGAAAAATCTAGCTTTTGATAGTACGTGTTATGATGATTTACTGCGCACAAATCGTAAATTTGATTAAACGAATATTTTTTAGGAAAAAATTGTTCAAATAATTGTAAAATCAAATTCTGAAGTGCTGAAGCAATTATGAAAATTTGTATGTTTGATTTATGCTACTTATAGTAGTTCAACAAAATTAGTGAAATAAAATAGAAATTTTCAAAGGCATTACAACAGTAATCCCATAAAATTTATTATTTAGTTGAAAATAATTTTTGACTTTTTAATTGAGATTACTAGAATATATCAAACAAAGGTGAATAGCATTTTACGAAAGTCTGAAAATTTCAACTGAAAACATCCACAAATTTTATTTATTTATTTACAACATCCTACGAAATAGAATTCCAATTTATAACAACCTGACCAAAGAATGACGCGTAGGTTAATCTTATGCAAGGGTAGCTTTTCGTCTCAACCTAATATATGTGATTCTTCAGAAATGCAAACCTTTGACGTCATACAGGGTCTAATCACTTTACTTTCTGTCACTCAGAGTGCTTGATTTCTTTTAGAATACTGAGTCGAAAAAAAATATTAATCTGAAAAGATTCTCAAAACATTCAGTCAGACAATCAACCTTATATTCCCTGTTTCACAGTGCTGAATGACTTCTTTAAACACTTTGGTCTGAAGCTAAGCAATGACCTAAGTCATGTTTGTTTATTCATTAGAAGTTATAAAAATCTCTCGATCTAATTGTAATGTAGCCGTCTGTTCCTTGAAGGTTTCAGGCAAGCCTTGTTAACAAATAACAATTAGAACAATACCTAGATCAAATAGGACTTTCTGCTGCCTAAATCTAACCACGTAACATCAATCTCTAAACTCAAACGACATTTTTAATTTCCATTCAGGGATAAAAATATTCTTGTTAAATTATTCTTCCGCAAAACAAAATAACAGATTAATTTATAAAACGTTTGATGAAAAGCAACATACAATTTCTCGCATCTGTTCACTTGAACTTCCGTGCCCTGCAGTTAAATTTTGTAGTGAACCAGCAGCAGCTTCCAGCGTATACGGATTTGAACTATATTGTATTAAATAGATCAATGTTCTTACTGAATCTATATCTCCATATGGTGAAGGGATATTTTCGGTTTTCGAGAGATTAGTTGATTTATTTAATGATTCAGGGTTCGCTGTAAAGAAATTAAAATTACAATATTTCACTATTTAAATCAGTTGTGTAAAGTAAAATGAATCTAAAATACAATATGTAGAATTATCTGTAATGGCTTTGGTTAGATAAAATTCTGGAGAGTTAAGAATTAGATGAAAGAGCAGCCTAGTGATTCTTGATTTCTAATGGCTGAAGTTAGTTCATGGTAATTACCATTTTCAAGCCTCAGAATGAGGCTTTTGTAAAAGCTTTACATTTAGATCATCCTGTTCAGTGACCGAAACACTGATTTTTGGTTTTCAGATTATAGAATTTCCCCTATACACCCCAACTTATTCGAAGTAATTTATGTTGTTTTAGCCAAAATATACTAAAGCAGTCAATCCAAAAAAAAACATGCACCAGTACTATCAATATAATAAATAAACAGATGTGCATATATATATATATATATATATATATATATATATATACATTGTGAATGCCAAGCTTCATCCTTTTAAAGAATATTATAAACACTAAAAGTGCCAGTTAATCACCTTGATAAATAAAAATTTTATTGTGTTGTAACACAAAATATCTAAAACATAAAATCGTTCTTTTAGAAATTCAAGCTGACATTTTTATGAAAGATAAATGCATAACAGAATAAGCATTGTAAAACGTTTCCACTGTATACTATTAATGTGTAGTGAAAGATGAAATCTATTGATAGTTTAACGATTTAAGAAAATGTAGAGATCACAATAATAAAATTACGCATCTAGTTAAAGGTTTTCTCAGCTAAATTAATTAGTGGTTCAAGACATTTATTATTATTATTATTATTATTATTATTATCATTATTATTCATTAACAAATATCAAAAATATCTTAACATAAGGATCCATTATCAATGCACAACTAAATAGTATTAACAAAGAGAGGACTAGGATGAACGGAAAATTGACATTTACAAAAACAACTTTGCTATTTATACTACTTATTAATAGTAAACTTTTATGTACGAAATTAAAATTGACTATATATTAGTACAGCAACTATACATGAACAATCGGTGTGAAGATCTATTCTAGCAGTTGTCACATTGTTGCATATAAAAAATCAGGACATTCAACTGTCTGTGTAGTTTTTTTTAGAAAAAATAGAAGCGTATTTATACGTACTTCAAGATGATAGAGATAAATCACAAGGTTATACATGTTTCAGTATATGATTGCTTTGTTATTTCACTTTTACGCGAAATAAAACTAAGTCATTAGGTATTTTCAATATTGTTTCAAACGAAATTACAAATACATACTACTCTGAAAAATTATGATAACTTATTCAGAAAATAATGAAGATGAAATCATAAACCAGAATATAAAAAGGGAAATCAAAAAGACAGAGTATAACAAACAAATCGTTGCATTCTGGCGAATATCATTTATTTACACAGATCTCATGTATGTGTTCACTCACTTGAAATGATAAAACTCCAACCACTAAAGATCCAGAACATTACCTCTAGTTCAGGTATTTCGCTTAAACGTTTCGTAAATTAGTAAATCAGTGAGAGTTAACAACAAAATGTCAAAGAATTATAGATAAAATAATGCAGTTCATGAACCTATGGGGCCAAAACTGGACGTCAATTCTGTTACTGAGTTTCTTCTAACGTAAAATTATGATGCTACAAGAATCATATTAGTCAGTTCTACAATTATCGACGCCAATTTTTAAATAATTAATATCTTTATGTAGTTTTTAGTTCAATTCAGTACTAATATAAACATATTCATAGCCTACATTTCAACTACGTTACTACGAAACACATCAAAAGCTTTCATTGTCCGACAATAAACTTTACATCCGACAGCCACTGATAAACAGTTAAATTTAACAGTAAATTCAAAAACGATTAAGAAAATTTAATTCTCTGAATTTTTAGAATGCCTGGCTTTATAGAAAGTATGAGGTAGTTAGGACTCTTGAATATATGTCGAAAAGTATCCAAATAATGATTTCTCTTGACTAGTACGAATTTAAAGAAGAGCTGTGAGAAATAACAAACACAACGATGCACAATATTTTCAAGGTCGATCTATACACCGATCTTGAATAGGCGGGACAAATAAATATTCGCAGAAATTGATGTACTTGTGCTTGCATATTTATAAAGTAATCTAATTTTAGCGAGACAATGTTTCTCAACCGAATAATGAAAACTCATCTTTTCATTTAATGTTACACAACTAAGACCTAGAAACCGGACACTAAATGAAAATCAAACTGTACTTAGTTCACAATTATTCGACGTCTGTTGCTACCTAATAAACAATTATCGTACAAATTACATTTTATGTTCAGCATTTATTTTGAGACCATAATGAGCATAACAAAGTACTCAAACTTTTTTATTTACTTTCGATTTCTGTCAATCCCTTTGACTTTTTACCGCTTACAAGACTGGTTGATTTAATTCTTAATAATGAACCATTGCGTGATTTCTCCTGAAATTTACTTTCTTGACTTGACGATGTAACAGAAGATTGAGATGGTGATTGTTGAGGTTGAGATTGTTGTGTCTGTTGTCTCTGTTGCAAACCATAGCATAAATTACGAATCGTGCAAACACAATGTTCTATTGATCGCTTATCGTATAATTGATGTTCTACTGCATAACGTAATATACTGAAAAGACTAGTTGCAAGTTGAGGGCACTGACGCATTTTTTCTCTGACATCATCATCTTCAGAACTGCTTATATTTCTATTAGATGTGATAAAAAACGAAAACAGTGTAAATTAATGGGAATTTTTTTAAAAATGTACAAAGATTTATACTGGGTTAATTTAACCCATAAATCAAACAAACTTCTAACCGATCACTAAAGATTATCATATTTTAAATAAAGTGATTGAGAAAAGTAAACTTTATGCATATATTCATGTTTAAATCTAAAGAACTGAATACTCACCGTATCAGGGATGTAACAATACGAAACAGAATACTATTAATAATTGACTGAGCTCCGTTATCTTTTGATGCATAAATGGATGTTTCTGTTGCTGCTGGCACAATAATAACATTCAACAAACTTGGAATTAATGCTTCTTGTAAAACACTTCGTTTTAACCAACTTACTGATGCTAAATTACATAGAACAGAAGCGGCATTCTCTAAAATTGATTTAACAGCCTGATGTAGATCATCGTATTCAGTGCCATTCAAGTGACAATGACTTGAATTACTGGACATTCCATAATTTAAATCTTTGAATGAGTCTGTGGTTGATCCATAGACTTGACGGTTTTCAATTAACCAAGCTAATGCACGTATACCACCAACTCGTTCCAATTCCTTCTACATTTTAAAGTGGAATAAAACCAAATCAGTCTGTACATACAATCATGCGATCTCAAAAAGTTGTTTCCATCAGTGAAAAAACCATCACAAATTAAGAAGTAATGAATAACTGTTTTGTATTAGCATGGAAACTTTACACGTGAAATAGAAACATTATGTGTAATGAAAGGTTTCAATAGAACGTTGTAACCTGCTGTATCAGTTTAGTTAAGAGTTTAGATGCTTATCCACAAATGTAATTGAATAATAAGTAAATTATTATTAATTGACTTTATTTAAGAAACGTAGATCAATAGATTTTGCACACTGATACCAATTTAAAATGAGAGAGAAGATTTGTTGCCTCATAGGATGATTTTGGAGAATCTGCATTCTCTAAGCTAAAAAATGTTTTCGTGAATATTTCACTGTCGTTCTGAACAATACCATCAACGTCTAATTCAAATAGTGACTCGTTTTTGCCTATTCCACAAGCATTAAACCAGTTCTTCCTAATGATTATGTTTCTGACTAGTCTTTGAAGGATTTTTCGTCTTTGTCTGTCCTTACATTCCATCTAACGGTGAACGAGATTACCAAAGCACAAAATCTATGTTTGATATTACCAACAACATACTATGATCCATTTATAACCATTCATTGCAAATGGCGTTATTTTAGAAAGCAAGATAAACCACTTTTTATGATACCGGTATCATTTTTGTACCGTATATCGTTGAATTATTACTTATACAGCGCTTATGTTACTTAATGATTAAAGCAATTTTCAACGCATATAGCTTTTAAGAACGATCAATTTGAAACGATAAACCACTGTCATTTTACTTATTAAAATAAACATGTTTTTGAAAGCAGGACAGAAATAAATGTCTATCATTATTTCTATGCGTTGTAGGGTTAATTCGTCATTTTATCTTCTTAAGATTAACTATATTCTACTTCAATGATATGAAGTAAATAAACTTCTAATGAAGGACTTTGTAAGGTAACACGTTTAAATAATGAGGTAGTAGCTCAGATAGATAATCCTTAAGTATTGGGTTCTTTGATTTGGATGCTTTAGTCATGAGCTTTCACTGCCTTCCTGGGTAACGTTATCAGCCCGTACTTCATAAAGAAGTGAGGTATTAGAATTTTTCCACAATTAACTAACAATATATCCTGTTGACCTGGAACGTAACTGATTGCCTATAATATTCTAACAAAATAATCAGAAGAACTATATCAACAATCGGTATACACATATGAACAACAACCAATCGAACTGTAGGTCAACAGAAAAAGATGTGAGTTAACTGTGAAGAAGTTCTAATAACTCACTTTTTTATGCAGTGTATGATAATCTTGTATAGAAATACAATGTAAACATCATGACCAAACCATTGAGCTCAGAGAATAAAATACCTTTGAAAATATTTTTTTAGATTATCTATGTGACTTATCATTCAGCATTACAGAAATCTTAAACTCAGTATTTATCATTAAAAAAGCGTATTTTTAATGACTAACTAGTCTGATATTAATTCTGACTTATTTTTAATATTTAAGTCTATTCCATTTCCGAAAATATACATATAATGGTTAGTGTAGTCACCCGTTTTTTTATCTGAACTTTCAGTACTACAAATTATATTTAGTGATTTAATTAATTGTTATGAAAACAATCAAATTTCAAGAGAAAATCCATCTCTCTTTCTACTCCTTTAGAAAAAATAATTCATTTTACATTGTTATTCGTTAAAACTAATTCAATAATCATGTAAAATAACAAATTGTGCATATGATGAATGTTGTAAACGATGATTTAAATTACACAAAATAATAATTCCTATTCAATTAAGTCATTATCAGAAGGGGTTTTGTGGAGATTTTAGTAATTTAAATAGTTGAAATCATGAATCGATTGAAGCTAAATCATCATGCAAAACCTGGAATCACTGGACGGTCATTTCGTCCTGGTATGGGACTCCTCACTAGTGCGCATCCACGATCCCGCCCTCCGTGAGCCTCGAACCCAGGACCTAGTAGTCTCGCGCGCGAGCGCTTAACCATTAGAACACTAGGCCGGTTGGCATCCAACGGTGTTGTCTAACTTCATTCTAATTAATTAAATTGGTTGTCGTAAAGAAATACTTCCATTGAACTCATATACGTATAGAATATGCTTTATATAAATACGAGATACTAAGTGTTTCTTTATCGAGATCAAGAACCGATTGATGTTAGACCACCGTTGTCTGACGTCATTCAATGGTTTCAACAACATTGTACCTGTGGCAGATAACTTTATCATACCCGATATGATTGAAGTCTACTAATCATGTCCTTCACAAGGACTCTCGGAATTATCTCTTTGAGTAAGTCACTATTGAACAACTTATTATTAGAACGGGGGCTTTGTAAAGGCTATTGAATTTCCATAGTTTTCATTGGTCCGTATAACAGCTGTCCGGTACTTCATGGTCATTAATAGTTGTTCAACCAAAATCGGCAGACGCTCAAAGTAATATCTATTTGTAAGGCTTTTGATCTTTATGTTGCTGAAATTGAAGACTGTAATTCAATTTCTGTCCGTATATCAGTTGCTATAGCGGATATCTCAGTAAAGACTGTGGTTACAAAGAGATTATACATTAAGTGGGGCTATTGGTATGTATTTATGTATGTATAAATGAAAGTGTACAGAGGTGAAGAGAGTGATACGTGAAGAAAGACTACTCAACATATGACTATAATTGTTTTCTCCTAGAAATCCCATGTAACAGCCAAACAAAATCAGTGTCGAATTAAAGTTTGAAGTCTCTATTGCTCCTTATCAACAACACTGTATTCTTAAATACTTACGTTCGAATTTCATTTACTTTCATTTTCAAATTTATTGATTCCTCTTATTTCATCCCCATAATTGAATACCTTTTGAAATTGGGTTTTAAATACCTTTCTTGATAAAGGGTTGAAGACTTGTGAGTTCACTCTTAACAGATATTACTTGTATGCTTAATAGCATCCAAAGGGAATAAACCACTCAGCTGTTGCTTCATGCTTTTGCGTAGTTCCTGACTATAAATGTTTCTCATTCAAAAGATACTGGAATTAAAATTCGAGCTTTTTATCATTTCAGAAAACCAGTCTTGAAGAAGCACACTCACCATTTTTCCCCAGTATTATTCATTTTTATAAAAAGTGTGGTAACTTTTGTCATTTAACCATTAATATCACTTCATTTCAGAGGTGCTTTAGACCCCCCCCCCAACTAAGTAGCTCATTGAATTATGTAGTGTAGGTAACCTTCTATGCCACTCCAAACCTCGAATTCACCTCATTCATTCATAGTTTAGTCACAAATGTTTAAAAAGAATTTCCATATTTAGTCATATCTTTCATGAAACCTTATGCAGAAATTATCTAGTCTTCAGTACTACTTAAATTCCTACAATATACATATGATTTTCTTGAGCCTTTTATTTATGAAAAGAGAAACACGCAACATCATAGTTTTATTAATGATCACTAACCACCGTTAAAATATATGATGAAATGATAAAAATAATCGTGCAGTGAAATAATACAAAAATGATATAAACTGATATATTTTCTAAAATATTCCCATTATTACTATTATTGTTACTATTACTATTTGGCTGTTTAATTGTTAAACAGCAGTAAATGGTAATATCACATATTATTCATTTCTTAGGACAAAATTAAACATTTGCTACTGTCTGGGTTAATGTCAACACAAACAAGTAGTGTAACTTTCTGTTCAAATTGTGTTTATATTTCCTAAGAACCGAATAATCGTATTTCTTTATTGAATTTTATTCGCCTTTGTTTCCTAACCAATAATCTTGATGAGTCAATTTCAATTAAAAATCTTTGGTAATAAATCTGGTTAGAAGATAGTTTTTTTTACTAAAATAAATATCCAGGCTCGATAGGAAAAAAAGCAATGAATAGGTATATACATATATGCATGTGCATGCCCAGTTCACCAGTTTCACCAACAACATCTTGTTTAAAACATCAAACATTCTGTCGAACAATAGTTGGTTCACCTACAAATATCTACAATATGATCAATGTTAAGTGGTCAAAAAAAGTCAACAAGAAACCTTGATCATGAAAGTCACTGTGACTACAAAATTTACCCAATTAGGAGTAAACTCCATCAGTATATAATTCGTAATATTTTGTTGCACAGGATCATTTCTTGTTATCATATTGATACATATTGAATATATGAAGCCTGATTAGTTGTCTATTATTTAACTACAAACATTATTGGTTATCTGGTGATATGAAACGAGTAAACATTTTTTTAACCAAGAAGGGTTTTTTTTAGATACAATCTCCTCACTGACACAATTCGGTGTAATCTTTTAAGTTGGAAACATTTATCAGATTTCAAATTATCTCCACCCGTTTTTCATCTTGATAAAGGATAAGCGAAAAGATAGATCATTTCAAAAAGAATTTCAAAATTCAACAGGGTGATCTCTGATGAATGTGATTGATTACCATATTATAAAATTGCATATTATTGAAATGGTAAAGCTTAATTCCTCAAAGATAAACAGTTAGTGAATAAACGCAACCATGTAATGTAAACAAAAAAATAAAAGACAACCGACTATAGATCACTTCAATCAAAAGAAATCTGAAGCGCTGAGAAATTATTCTATTGATCAAATGAAGAATCGTTTAATAAATGTTCTGTAAAATATAATCGTTTAAACGATAATAATTAATTCACATTATAATACGAAAAAACAGTTTGCTAACCGTAATATTTGCTATTTTTTAGTCAAACCTCTGACATTCCTCAACCGATCGTTTATCTACTTATCACACACATTTCATATGTTTAGGTATAATTTGAATTGGTGTAACAAACGATTTATTTTAAACTTATTTTTCGCAGTGAGAAATCGTGGTAAATAGCTAGCAGTTGAATGTAAAAAAGAAAGTCTTCATAAAAACAATATTTCTATAGTTAACTTACTTTTATGGCTAAGGTATCCCCGCATGTCAGATTACGTAACACTCCAACTGCATTAAGGCAAATACGTGTGTGATCTGAATAGAGTAACTGAACTAAAGCTGATATACCACCAGACAGTCTGAAGTGAAATAGAAATGTGTAATTACACAAAATCTCAATAAACTTTTGTTTTTAAAAACATTTAAAAACTTTCCTACAAAGTAGATTATTGAGTTCCATGGTAAAACATAACGGCCGTTGAGTGCTTTCAGGTTTAATGGTTGCCTGACATTGAATAGTTCAAAATTTCAACGAAACTCTGTAATCTCGACAACTTGATACCAATATTGTTAATTAGTTATTCACCATTTGTCCCGTTCTCTGCCGCTTACGGCGCAATTGTATGTTAAACATGATTTCATACTTAGGGTGCGTCATGGTCTGATAACTCATGTATGTAAGCTAATGAGTGCTTGAAATACCTATAATATTACAGAACTGCTGCTTACGCCAAGCTAGAAGTTCATACGTTATGAACCAATCGAAGTTAGGGTTATACTCTATCTCAAACTCATGGTTCACCTTACCAGTCGGAGCATAAAACTGACCGAAGCTTAGAAAGCTAGCGGTAGCCGAAACAATAGATGCTGAGGTAAAGGAATATAACCAGGGCTCTTATTGATAAGTCACTTCTCTATATATCGATTAACTTAGTCATAACAGATATCTTTGGGAATTTGGTGTACCTTAAAGGAATGGAACGTTATTATCTGATACCAGTCAGGAATGGAAAGCGCCTTCAAAAATGTTTTAGAAAACCCAAAACTATCGAAATAGCTTATAATTAGTCGATTAATGATTCAACTAAAGCACTATTTTATCAGCCAGCAAATAAGTAATTATAACCATAAAATAAAATAAACATTTTCACCCGCTGAGTATAAGAAAAAGACCATTATACTTGCCGTGTTTTCTCTTTTAAACTTGGATTACGATAAACTAAATGTTGTAAGTAAGCAGCTGCATTTGATACAACATCTGGATCAGATGACTGAAGTAACCGAATCAATAATGGAATATCAACTGACTGTGAAAATGTTCCTGAATTCGACTCAATATAATCAACGTTTTTCGATGGATTATTTATATTCGGCATTGTAGGATATCGACTGACAGTAGATAACTTCGAGTTATTACCTGTAAAAGTTAATTAGTAAATATAAGATAAAAGCTTAAAATCTTTGTTAAATAGTATAAGTGAATTATCTTAAATGACTGGTCTTCATCCTACGTCACTTTTGCTTTCTAATGGAAAATGAGTTTCAGTCGGTAGGTAAAGAATATAACCAACCGATTTTTATAACTAGGCATGATATCGAAATAGTTTTCCATTACTATGATTATCAATAATCTGATGATCCGTGTAGAAAATTAGTGCAATTATTTCTTTTTTGTACAAATATAATAGTGAGTAATAATATATACTAATAAAATATTTAGTAATCAGATAGTGTCCTGCCTAGTACTTGTAAACAGTAAAAACAATTATCTTTCATGTAAAGAATGAAGTAAAAAAATAAAGCCTAAACAAATATCAACACATTTAACCAAGTAAAATTAACTAACAGCTGTTATATTCTTCAGTAAATGATCATAACAATATCTAGATATCATATTACATTAGTCATCATTAATAGACAATATCAAGATAGCATAGAAACTAGCATGAAGAAACCATTAAGATAATTGGTTTTATCAAAGTAATTTATTTCATTAAATTGTATAAATTAATCACATAAAATACTTTAATTGTACTAAATATCTTGATTTCAATTGAAAAATTAAGAGCCTTATCATCAACATTGTTTCTTTTTATTGATTCACTGTAAACGTATACTAAAAGTTAACTAAAATATGATTATCATATAAATTAAAATTAAACGAATAAAAGTACCTTTATAATTAAAATTTAGATTAATTAATGATTTGCTTTTATAATGAGTATAGATTGACATTATATTTCTTCTTTTAAAAAATAATTTCACTAGTTGAAATCATGAGTCAATTGAAGCTAGATCGCCATGGAAAACCTGGAATCACTGGATGGTCATTTTGTCCTATATGGGACTCCTCAGCAGTGCGCATCCGCGATCCCATCTTGCAAGATTCAAACCTAGGACCTATCAAGTATCAACCAGGTCTGTTGTGAGATATCAGCTCGCTGAAGACAACGATGGATAGTGGCTGAAGTAAGACATTAACACCGTTGGATGTCAGCCGGCCTAATGGTCTAATGGTTAAGCGCTTGCGTGTGAGACTGATAGGTCCTGATTTCGAATCTCACGGAGAGCGGGATCGTGGACGCGCACTACTGAGGAGTCTCATACTAGAACGAAATGACCGTCTAGTGATTCCACATTTTCCATGGTGGTCTAGCTTCAATTGATTTATGATTTCAACTATTTAAATTACTAAAATCTCCACAAAACCCCTTCTGATGATAAAATTGAATTTTTTCATTAAAATGTTTAAAAAAAAATAACTATTTCATAAACTGTAAGGTGAAATTTATTGGTTATCTTTAATCATAATCAAATAAATTACTAATGATCGTTAAAACGTATAATCCAACAATGACATATTGTGTATAGCATTTCATAAAGAGGAAAATAATTAAATAGACGAATTGAACATGTCTGGGAATTTTTCTACTTCAAACTCCATTTGTTAATAATTAGATTATTGTGTTTTTCAACTATTGAATCGGGATAAATAGTAAATAATAGTTACATGTTGATTCATTTTAAAAAAAACCATTTATTCTTTTCTATTAATGATGAGTGTTTTATTTTGTCTTTCGTACCTATTTAAAACTGATGTGAAAATATTTCAAACCATCAAATATGTGCTTTTACCTCAAAAGTGTTCAGTTGTATATCTGATTGAATGATTTTAAGGGGTGAACGAATATCAGTAGTTCAATAGGTATTTTGAAAGTTAACCTTTGAGTTTTAACCAGCTTATAAATTGAAGAAAACCCTCAGACTAAGTACAGACGACTCACCTGTAATGAATTGCAATTACGCTATTTCTAAGGAGAATCATGTAGATTTTTGTATAACTTGTTAGCAAACTGACAGCAAATAAGGACTGTTGGAAACTTATTAACATCAAATAGGTGCTTCATCCACCAACAACATTGCTCGGTGGTAAACACTTAAGTTTTAAATCCGATTAGTTGAGAGGAAGGAGGTTACTCTCCGATAAAACTGGATGACGATAACCTTTTATTAGAAAATGACTGAAACCACAAGATATGAACCACAGAGCGTTGTATAGATGACATAGTAGTATCATACGCAATGAAAGATCTTGAGTTAGGATGACGTTGTGGGCAGGGACAACTAATGACCACAATACTAGGATTAAAACGGTTATGCAGTACCTCCTGGTTTGAGTTGTTTTTGTCAACATAATTATGATCTCCGGCAATTTTATCTTAAGCTGTTAAGTTTTCTTAAATATAAATTTCCTATTAATCTCTTCCAAACATCTAGAACTGATAGATAATAATGAATATACAAGCTTCTAATGAATAATTAAACATCGCTTGCTCTAGTGACGAAATTATGTTAAATTAGACTTTTAGTGAATATTTTTAGTCGTAATTAGAACGTATTTAGAGTATAAATAATCAAAAATTTCTCCATAGTCTTCGAACGGGGATATAATTGTTACTCTTATAAATAAGTTAACTGAGAACTCTGCTGTTATCAATTACATTTTTTATCAAGCAAAGTATAGAACTAACCTTGCGAATTATTTACCAACTGTCTGTGAACAGGCATTGGTGTTCGACGAATACGTAAATCATCAACACATATTCCATTCGTTTGATCCGTATATATCGACCGATCATATCCTCTACAATGTTGATGATGGTGATTATACAACTGATGATGTTGATTTCTTAAACGTGATTTAATGTCGTCTGATTTAATATTATAATTATGGTTATGTATGTGTGGTTCCCAACCGTTTGTATCAATTGAACATTTCATTTTATTTTCGTTTGCATTATCTGATTTTGTATCAGCCGAATTTATTCTATTTGCATAATCATTGTGTTTATTCCATGGTCTAAATAGTAGCAAAATGCAGACAATTTCAAAATTACATTAGTATGTATGTATAAAGATAATGTTAGTGCTAAGTCGTCTCATTTCAATAAAACCATGCAGTCTTCAAATTACTCATTATTTATCTAAATATTAACATATGACAATTTATTTATAAAATGTATTTTTTGACAGTCAAATAACTTCTTAAGCAAAAAGGTTATCATTGAGTACCGTATAACTAACTTCCTGTAAAGTATTATGCTTCAATTACTCATCCTTATATTATTAAAATTTCCCTGAAAAATCTATACTTTGTACAGTTCAAATAGTTTAATAAACAATGATGGCAGATACTTAGATGATAGGAAAAGTTAAATGTATTTATATCAAGAAATTCAGTTTTAAAGTTTTATTCACTGAAAATATCGATAAGGCATATTATTGTAAAAAACAAGATAGTTTACACTCTGAGATGGTAGGGAAGATTTGTAGCTCAGGTGGATGATTTTGATGAAGCTTTTTCCTCTGAGCTAGATGGTTTTGGTCGTAAAGCTTTCATCGTTCTTCTGAACGATATCATCGAACACTTCACTTCTACCTGAAGTATGTGCTGAGGATGTCATTCAGAAGAACGATGAAAGCTCCACGACCAAACCGTCTAGCTCTAAGAACAAAGCTCTATTAAAAATAGTTTACACTTTTATTCAAACTATTATTGTGTTAATTTATAAAATTCACTTTCGTACTGTAGTTTTTTTTCTTTGAAAATAACTTAATTGAAGCTTGAACAAAATAATTTACACATTAATGAATGAATGTTTTCGACTTGTTTCTATTACAAATACATGTGCATATTGTATATTTATTGTAAAGTAAATTTTTTTAATAAATCTGTAAGTAAACACAAAGTTGTTGTTTACATAAGTTTTGATTATTTATCTAAATTTAAACCTAGATGTTAAAGTATCCAATTGAAACAAATCAAATGTCTAATTAATTCATTAGAATTTCAATTTTACAGTAGTATATTTAATTAAGAAAGTCTATAATTCACAAAATATGTGATATATGAATATATGGGGCATGCATGCGTGCTACAACTACAATTTTGTACAAGATGCTTAAAATTCATATTTCTCCTTTCTTATTTCTTAATAGACCAAACGAAAATGAAGAAACAATAATTCATGACAAGACACAAAAATCGAATTAACTTAATATCTTAGTTAAAAATATTTTGTGTTCAAAAAACAAAACAAAAAAAACAAATAAAAGGTTTTAACGTGAATACATATACATTACTGGTATAATACTGACATTTTCTAAAACAGTAAGAGGTCTGACATTTCGAAATACATGTAAAAACTCAAATAAAAATTGTCTGAATCATTTCAACAAACTAAAGTTATATTTGTCTGAAATAAGATATTCAATTAAGTAGAATATAAGTAGATACAATGCTTCCCAATAATTTTTTTCTATATCACCAATTCTCATGTGACGGAACGTAAAATTATATTAACAGTTCGTTAAAACCGTATTTTATCTGAAAGAATTTTAATTTTCTATGCTACTTATCTGGCTGTGAAATCCTACCTAAACGATGGAAAGTCAAATAAACTCTTACAGAAACTTGTAATACTGACTAATAAAAACCTATATTATGAAATAACTAAACGTGACTAAATCATGAAAGAATAACAGTTTTAAAGTTATCGACTGTTGATCTGGTTCTTAAAAGTGCTGCAAACTTTAAAATGCATTCGTTCAAATGTATAAAACTCATGGACGGAAACTTGCATAAATAACAACAATTGGTCGGTTGTGTTGATCGCCAAATTCAATTTTTCACATTTTCGTATCTTTTAACTCTGGTTTGCTACCGCTATGAAATTGTCACAGCTTAGAATTGATTAAAACACACTCCTATACATTATAACTGGATCTTTATTAATTTGATAACTGTAGATCGGTCATTTAAGTGCTAGATATTACAATAAAAACTACATATTAACACTGACACATTAAAAGTGTTTTTATTCTGAATGGGTGGGTCACTGAAAATTGTGGGAATATTTCAAAATTAGGCGGATTATTTATCTAAACTGAGGCTTTGATCGACTCACATTCAAATATCAAGTTAAATATTATGATCATCATAGCTTCATAAATCAGTGAAGAAAAGTAATTTGCCATACATTTGCAAAAACCGAAATTTCAACCTTGCTTATCTATGTCCTTTTAAGCTGAAAAAGATCGTGCCTACTAGAAATACTGTTGAATAATAATTAGACCACACGCTCCAGGTGGAGAAAATAAGTTAAAAGTGCATGAGTTGCTTTTAACAAACGATTTATTGAATTTTGTCCTATGGTTTCCATAAAGAAATTATTTTAGTTAGACAACTGTTAAGAACGAGAAGTCACTGGATGGTTGTTTAGTCTGAATGTTACCATTTGACTAGTCGATACAAGCCTGATTTAGCTTAATTCATCAAAATTATTTGATTTCTGGTGTATAAAGCATAAAGAAACATCATTTATTTGGAACGAAATGTTGATTGTTTATTTAAACTTCTGGTAGGAACATTTTTCAAATTTTTAACACAGCCCTGACTGACATTGTACAAAGTTTTTTTAATTAAAACAAGAATATAAATTATCAAATCGCATTCGAATGCAAAAAACTACTTCATGCAACGTAAAGGGGAGTAAGCATTCTTTCAGGCTACTTCATGCATATATAGCTAGTTTCTTTCCAACTTACAACTTATTCAATCTTTGACTTAATCGACTTTCACCAGTATTTAATTCATATGAAGAGGATTGTGAAGATGAATTTTGTTGATCAATTAATGAAATAGCTCTATGCGGTTTACATCTTAGTGTACAAAAATCCATATTTGTTAAAAGCTCATCCATTGAACATTTACTATAATTTGTTTTACTCAATAGCTTATCATCTGCTGATAGATCATAATCTTTCTCTTGTATACAACTTTGTGTCATACGATTATCAGATAAACCAACACCATGTAAATGAATATCGATAACTAAGTTTAATGAATTTGGATTTGATGTTGTTGTACTTGCTTTTTTTATACCTGTCCCTGTATCAATTGTAGGATTACTCATAATACTAGTTGCAACCGGTCTAGATGATTTATCAATTAATGTAAGTCGATTAATTTCTTTAGATCCATGTGAATTCTCTGTGTCTGTTGATATTTCGTTTTCTATTTTATTTGGTGTATTATCATCAAATGTTGTATAAGATGGCATAAATATGGGCATACTATGTTGTCTTCCATGATATATTGGAGTATCAGTATCATTAATAGTATTATTGTTTTGTAAATTCTTCTTCATAACTGTATTATTTGTTTGTTGTGATGTATTGTTAGGTGTATTTTGTATGAATTGCGTTTCAGTACATATAGTATTCAATGGTTCACATGTGCTCGACGTACATTCAGTATTTAAATCAGTTCTTAAATCTCTAGTATAATAGTTAAATTGGGAATCATTCTGTACTCTCTGATCGTTAGACTGTTCACTAGAATTTTTACATTTAACTAAAGTTGTTGGTGGAGTTGTCGGTGTAAAGTCTACCGGTGGATAATATCGATAAGATGAAAATGAATTATTCATTGTACTGAAAAATTTATAAATAAACGGATAATTGCTCTCCTCAAACAATTCATGTAAATTAAATTAAATATATTACCATTATCAATTAATTGATTTACGTTATATTCATATAGATTTAATAAATAGACATTTATTGATTGCGAATAATCGGTACTTATCGTTAAACTGTGTCAGCGCGTGATCTAATGTACTCCTACGTATTCCAATTCTTATTTATTATTTTTTTAGACTAATGTTGCTTGTTAAGGAAAAAGATAAGTGATCTTATCTTTATTGAATATATAGTAACAGTCAACTTACCCAACGAGGTAGTGGATCTCTCTCATCATAGTTAAGCAGAAATAAAACAAACTTGATAGGGAGTTTCATTTTGTTGCAATTTGTTAATAATGGTTTTGTCAAGCAAAACTGAGACAGTTACATTCATCTATTGTATTCCATCATTGTTATCTAATTGACTTCAAATGTGGCTCTTATACACACAGAACATTATTATGAGTTGGGAAGATTCAGTGAATAACCATACCAACTCTCAAATTTTTCCCCTACTATGGATTTTTTACATTGATTTTGTATTTAGACCGTATTTATTCACTTTGTTTGATAACTCTAAATGGTGATACATTAAATAAATTGTGAGCCCTTTAAGAATTTGTGTTTATGAATATTTAATAATAGTCCGATCTTAGATTGTAATTACTACAAACAAAATTTAGATCTCAAGTGTTCAGATATTATGTTAAATAATGTTCAGGTATCCTAAAAAAAACCATAACTCTCAACAGTAGCTAATCAAAAACTATAATGACATGAGCTCAACCTATCACTTACTAAATAAAGGTCGTGCAGTCACATGTTCACAAGTTATATATATATATATATATATATATATATATATATATATATATATATATATATATACACGATTTAACAGAATCCATCAGCCAAGGTTTTCCGGATAATAGCAATTAACAACGAAATTTGATACACTGAAGATCTTAAGATAGACAATGGATAAAATAAAATCTCATTCTGTTGAGAAAACATCGAAAATCTAAAACTACCTAACAAAATAAGTAGAGATAGATGGTGGCTAGCAGTGGAACCTAGGATGAGCATTTCATCCTATTTGGAACTCGTCAAGTGGATATAGCTACATACTGAGACCTGAATTCTAATGCCAGCCACCACCTATCTCTGCTTATAATGCTTGTGACTTGGGATATATTGAGACAATCTGCACAGAATGCACATATGCCAAAAGAGACTGATCAGTTGCAGTCCTAAGCATCAATCAGAAGATTCAAACAACCAATACAAAATGAATCTTACTTTTTAAAAAACGTGTTATGCTAATATCCCTAGACCATTAGGCAATCATTTTCTTCTATGTAGAAGTACAAAAACCAGCATAGTTTACTTTCTTCATTTACTTCCAAAACATTACACATGTAAGTTCGATATACACAGTAAAATTGTTTCATTTAACATATCGAGATTTATCTAAGCTAACTTAATCATTCAATATATACTTAAAGAAAAAGCATCCATCCCATATAAGTAGTGTATATAATCACTGAAAATGTATTCACTTTTATTTTTCTACAATCAATTACTAAATAACATTTTAATGTATATATTCTACATACTGGATCCTTATTTTTCGATCATTTTATTTTTATTTTCACTGATTATTTACTGTTTGATAAAATAAATGTAAGATAAATGTAGCTCTCGTAAAAAAAACTGACTTTATTTAAAGTAACAACAATAAACAGAAGCCACTAATTACTTATTCGAATCCAATTTAGAAATTTCCAGTTATAGTAACCTAAAAATTCGATAGAGATAAAATTTAAACCTACAAAATCACCAATGTTTTATTTATTGAATAACACAAAATACAACAATCCACCTTTTCAATATCTCAAACAGTATCACAAGCTTTTTTACACAGGTGCATTAATATAAGAAAGCTATTCACTGAAAAAGGAAAAAAAACATTAACGAGAACAATTCGCTAAATAAAATGTAATGGATAATGTACAATGATGATGCCCGACCGTTGTTGCCACCTTGACGTGGTGGTCGGGCTTGCCTATGGTGATGAAGCACCCGAGCTATACTGGCTGGAACATATGTTTCTGTAGGTCCTACCATGTCAGAAAGGTCGGTTGAAGAGCGATAAGACTAAAAGCAGAAAACCCAAAATCCGAAGGCGAAGTCGTACTGCTGACTGTACAGAGGTATGACAGCAGTAAAGTGTTTCCTTCAGACAACCAGCATGACAGCGATGCCGCCTTCCCACAAAAAGGGGTGGGGTTAGAAAAGGTCGGGCCTAAAAATGCACACCTCGCCTTATCCCACAGATATCCGTCTCCGGCGGTAAGATCTGAACAACTACGGAGCTAACACAAAAACTACCCATAAAAAGGTCGTGTGTGACCGACCTCAAACAGTTGTCCCTTGAGCACTGCGGTCACGCTCTCAGGTCACTAAGACCACCTCTAATCCGATTTCCTCTTCAGGTACCTCCAGAAGAACCCTTCCACGGTGTGGGCAACCGGTAAGTGATAACCGCCCTCATACCTCTAACAGCACTCAAGACTGATATTACAGAATTTCCTCGTAATATATATATATATATATATATATATATATATATATATATATATATATATATATATATATATATATCAAATATTCACGTATTATAATCATTCATATTCAACACAAAATCAATAAACATAATGAAAATACTGACAGATACGATTCACAAGTGTATTTTGTTCCACAATTATATAAATATGACCTATTCACCTTTTATGAAATAATATATTAACCAGTAGTAAATTGTATTTTTCACATTATACATGAACACAGAATGATATGTATTGAAAAAACAAAAAAAAACAAGAGTGAGCCTTCGTCTAATTTAGGAATTGTAAAATGTAATTTTGTTTTCTCCCTCTTTTTTTCCACGTGCACAACTACCAACAATATTCAAAACAAATAAAAAATAATACATTTCTGACATAATTAATTATTTTGTTTTTTTGTTAAAATACTTTTTTTGGCTAATAAAGAATTTCTATACACCATAACAAAAGAATTAAAGTTCATATTATTTATTATTGGTGTTTACTTTAAATGAATATGATTCAGTTAGATTAATTTTCAACAATAAAAATTTGTTTATTAACAGTGAAAATCAAACAAGAATTAAAGTAGAATACCAACTGGGTTCTATATGTTCACTAGCTAATATTAAATTGAGAAGAAAACTGGTTTCACATTAAACTACGTTTCATCTCATTTTCTGATGGTTCATAATAAATTATATCTTGTTCTTTGTTTTGCTAGTATTCATCTCAGTGTGTTATGTCAATGAATATATGATTTTATATACTAATAATTAATGATAGGCAATTATGTCAAGAAGTCACTGACTTCATGACAACATAACCTTCCTAATGAGAATCAATTAAAGTGTAAATCACCAGTTGAAGATTGTTTGTTATTTAATATAGTTTATATCCTTTCAATCTAAACTCTCTTTCTTTCTCTATTCAGTGGTCCATTTGTAACTATGACTTTTACCTTTCAGTTCATACTACTGAAATAACACTTTCATTCCTTTTTTGGATCCTGATAATTTATTTTTGTCAATTTTCAAAGGCAGTACTGAAAATGTACAATTTAAACTGATATAAATTTATGCCACTCTCTGTGTAACTGAATTATTTTCTTCTGTCTATAAATTTTAATTTTATATGTGTAAATAATGGCAAACAGTAAATGATTACTTACAAAACTACAATCTTTAATTACAGTCCAAAACTGACTTATACACCTTAGTATGCAGTATATATTTAAGGTCTTTAATAAAAAAGACCTGATCACACCAAAATTTCCCGACAATAATAACTGTCAAAATCGATAAAACCGGATTACATATTGAAATATTTACTAGGCTATTTAAAATATCTGTAATTCTAAGATTTGATAGTTTTGTTTACGGTTGAGAAGCAATGTCTAAAGATGTTTTCCGTTGAACTTCTACATAATACAAAAAATGCCAGCTATCAAGTACTTCCATCTGTTGCTTTGATTTTAAATTAACACACAGATAGGATAAAGTGTACGTTTCAGTGTATTCACCAAAAATCACACCTTAGACAATAAAACCCAGAAATATCAGTTATCAGTTGAAAGATTAAAAACCTTGCCAAATTGTGAAATGCCTATGGGCTTTTTTTGATAATCCAAAACGTAGTTAAATTTTTGCATACATAACCTATTAGGATATATAAAATTTACTACTACAAGTAATCAGAATCCAGTAAATTAGAACTTGTCTTGGTGTTGATATGTGAATTCTATTTTATTCATAATCAGTATAAAGTTTCGCTTCCTCGATTTCATACTGCTTGGCACCCATCAGTAAGGTGTGCCAGCAATCTCTTTGAAACCGACACTCGCGTCACTCACCTTCAAAGTCCAAGACGTTTTCTGTTAGAAATTTCGCCATCGACCACCTATTATCAAAACATAGTGCATTCAAGGTGGAGTCATTTAAACCAATAACCATATTATAACTTTATCGACAGAATTGGTCAAACACCAAGGGCTTGAAACAAATTGACATTTGTCACTACTTATTAACCTCAAACATCACTACGGCACTGAAATCACTCTTTTCTGATAAGCAAACACTCTCTAAAATCCACGCTATGCAGAATAAATACAATAATCTAAATGAATTATGAATGAGACTGCACTGAGAAAAGTAGTGTATTTCTTCGTTTATTAATACGGCCTAAATTGAAAATGCACACTTTCTCTGAGGTATTGTGTAAGCATTAGAGGCTGTGTCTTAAATCTAACTAGCTGTACAAATGATTGATTTTATACTCCACTTAGAAAAAAAATGTTTCCATCCCACTGATTATCACTTAAAATAGTTCTTCAGTGTCATTAAATTCGATAATCATTTAGCGTCCT